CAACTTCCATTTTAGTTTCTGCTTTGTTTGGGGGTTTAGTCAAATGGGCACTAATGACAATCGCTTTCTGGAGCTCTCTGGTTAACTGTTTTCCCGAGGTTGGACAAGCATATAGCCTTTTGTTGGTCGATTACTCGTTGAGACTTTTGTCATCGGTTGTGGGCATTCGTGATCAACAGACGTAGCATTCGTCGTCCAGGTGGTTCGGTGATCTTCCATCACAATGGATGGTTGATGGGTGAACGGTAGCGCATATTTGGTCGCAAGACATGTCTTCGCAAAGACTCGTGCAGGAAGTAGAGTTGCTTGTGAGTGGAGAATTGCCGGCTGGCAAAGGTCTACAATTAACGAGTGGATTTTAACGCATCGCGCCAGAATTGTTTGGCTATTATTGAGAATATCTGTAGAACGAATTGTGAATGAGAGGATTGTCCTGTTCTTTGATCCGGGCATTTCTGTTACAGACGTTTCGTAAGCAAACTAGGCAAGATCCACAGCGTGGATATGTAGCCCAGATTAGCGGACTCTCGCAAAGCACTGTCAGATCCGAATGACTATTTTTTGTTATCTGCTTGGAAGATACAAACACACAAACAGTTATTGGTTTTACCAATGGGATCGACAATCTCTGGACTAATAGCACAGGCAGTGGTGCAAGACTTGAAACAAAAGCCATTGTCCATAGAGGAGCCCAAACTTTTGGATACATTACGCAGCCGACACTTTCGTCATCCTCAAACGATCCAGACTAAAAGAAACACATCAACTAATCAACAACATGTTTTCCGGCATCCATTTTGCAAATGGGGAAGAGAAAAATGACCAGTTGCCATTATTGGACGTGCTCGTAAAAATAAGTACTTCTGGGTCGCTGAAAAACAACAGTTTATCAGAAAGCGACCCACACTGATCAGATGTTAAAATATCGCAGTAACTATCGGACCAGATACGAGTGAAGTTGCGTGAGGACGATTTTCAAACGGACCCAGACACAGTGCAGCATGCCAAAACTGACGAAGGCGGAGGAGGACCACCGGTTTAGCAAGTTTCGGCGAAATTCGTACTCTATAAGCGTTATTCTACGCTGCCTGATGTCGAGCAGCCAGTCGCAATCCGCGTCCCCATGCGCAACAGAAAGAAGAATGATTATCCTACTTTACATCCATGGGATACATGTTGCACACGAAGAAACTGAAACCATTCGAAGAGAACCTTCAAGGTAAACAACAAACTGTAAAGAAGAAACATCAGGTGTAGTGTACAAAATTTCCTGCACACACTGCGACAAGTACTGTGTAGGCCAGACTGGAAGAAAACTTGGCATAAGACTGCACGAATATAGTCTGATCATACTCCGCCACGATGAGAAATCCTTAATGTCAGTACACATGGATGCCGAAGATCATCATTTCGATCTGGAGAACGTTGAAATACTTGGAAGCGCAAGAAACCGCGGAGCACGTGTATTGCTCGAAGTCTGGCATCCTAGCCTGAAGGTAATCAGCAAACACCTGGAACTGGAGGTTATCTACGAAGTTTTGAAGGTTAAGTTAGCAATAAGCACCAGATCGACAAGGAGAAGGCGTGATCACTCGGCCGACTCACTCGAACCATTCGAAGCAGATAACAAACAATAGTTATTTGGATCTGTCAGTGGTTTGCGAGACTCTGCGAATCAGGACTGAATAGCCGCACTGAATATGTTGTATATATTGATAACGAAACGTCTGCAACAGAAATGTCCGACTTGTAAAACATGACAATCCTCTCACACTTACATGAAGAAGAAGAGAAGACGGACATTTGAGGGAATGGCAGTCATTGTGGATACTGTAGAAGTAACTGCTGTCAAATTGTAAGTGATTGTAGCTGTGGAGTATCCAAGCATCATCTTCTTGCATAATTAGTTCATGGGCGGCGTCGATGTTCCGGACGCACTGATTGCTTATTATTTGGTCCATACCAAGTCCTGAAAATACTAGCACAGTATTTTTCTATTTTGTATACATTTTGTTAATTGATAGTCTATCGACACGATTGCGACTCTCTGGCGGTACGTCTTGAGAAACAGAAAGACTTGCTGGTTCTCTGCTTAGCTATTCCCGGCGCACTACTCATGCATGCCATAGACCTATCAGCGAACAAGTGGGGACAGCTTTCGCCATTTATTGTAACGGAGTGAGAAATGAAGACATGCCGGGGTTCAACTCAAGCTATTCCATCACTGGAAGTCCGGCCTGATTCTGTGGGTCACTGTCCAGTGCTTGATAGTGCACGACAGACGTGCGCACTGCCAATTGTATGGGATAGACCATGACCAAGTACACGAAGTGTAAAGCCCTCCTGTGCCACAGCTAGACTGCTCTAGAGAATTGCACGAGTAAAACTGTTTCTCTTCGTTAGAGTTTTCATGGTTGTTACTAACTACCTGTTACAATTTGCATTGTGGACTGGAGGAATTGAATAGCTGCTGCTTAACATCTCAGTGAGGGAAATTATGTGAGTCACCGTTTTACCTATTTGTGCCTGATGTAACGCTTTTGCGTCATACCCAAGCTTCTACCTATAGTATATTTTGTAGTCAACCTACTTTAGCATCTGTATGTTAGTGGAATCACAAATACTTTTTCTAACAATGGCAGAAAACAAATTCGGCAAGGAAGGGTTAAGTAGGGAAGGAAATCCGGGTGCTGGGCGACGGGCAAGCGCGGGGAACTCAACCGTGGCGCAGTGTGTGTGTTGCTCACAGATCAGACAAACCAATTCTACGTAAGTTGTTGCATTCTGTATCGAAAACCTAAGTGTACACTAATAATGATAATTTTAATTAGCATCATACCCAGCATACTCAAAAAGTCCCCTGAAGTCTCCAAACCGCTACCGGGTTGGCAACTTTTGCAAACCATTCTAATGGTAAGACAGGGGATGATACAACATGAGGAAACTATAACTGCTTAACCATTGCTAATGTATGAGCGCTGCTTTTTTCAAAAATTGGTCGTGGGAAGATGGAAGGATCCACCGAGGTATTTCAGCCTAATTCATTCTGTTTAATGGCCGCGTAAACCAGGATGTTGATCAGAGTATACTGGGAATAGATGTTAAAGCAATGGTTTGGGAGCAGGAACGCAGTAGGGCTGTTTACCCTTGAGACCCAGTAAATAGTGTTTAAATCCGTCTTCATGAGTGTATCCAACTAAACTGGATGATCTGTAATAAAATTCCCTACTGAATCAAAGCGTGATTGAAAGCCTTGAGTTTCCTTTAGCAGATTGCAGGAGACGATAAAAAGAAGAGCATTCCAAGATAGCACCGTTTCGTGTTACCTGATCCCGTGGTCGTTTTGTACTGAGTCAGAAAGAAGGTACACAGATACATAATAAAACTGGTAAAGCTGCAGCGAAGGTCAGAAACCCCAAGAAACCTTAAGGGCTACCGTCAATTGCTTTTGTGCACAAAGATTTGGACAGCAATGATTAAGTGCCATAGCCTCGGCAAACTTCAGTATCCTGGCGTTTTCGTTTCGGCAAACAAGCGTAAAAGCGGAGTCAGGGTCAACTTGACGAATTGTACTGATTAGGTTTCCGGAGGCATTCATCAGATTTCACCGGCACTTAAACGAACGAGAATCATGGGTAGTTACGGTGCTCAAAATATCTGTGTATTTACATCTACCCTTCAAAAGTAATGTAGTGAAGTCGCAAATTGAAAAACGCGTGAACACAGTTGTTCGCTCTACATTCAATGTTGCCAAACTCCCCCTATTTCGACAAGCACAAAGCTATCGATGCATCCAATGAAACCTACTCAAGCGCCACAACTCATGGCATTTACCAATTCGTCTGTAGCTGCGGAAGCAGTTACTTCGGCAGAACAGATCGTTGTTTGAGTAAGCGGTTCGGAGAACATATTCTGAAGAGAAACCCTGTACTTTTGGCACAACAAGCAACCGAACAAGGATCAACAGACAACCTGCCAACGTCATCCAACACTAGACACCTCATCAATACCAGTCATCAAGTTGACCCAGGCTCAGCTTTTACGGTTACCTACGGAAACGAAAACGACAGGGTGCTGAAGTTTGCCGAGGCCGTGAGCCTTACTGGCTTCCATCCACTGTGTACAAAGGCAACTGACGTTAGCCCTTGGGCTTTCTTGGGTTTCGTGATTTTCGCTGCAGCTCAACCAGCTGCGGTTTTGCCTGTATGTTTTTCTTGCTGCAGTCCAAAATGGTCGTTTTCTTAACTTGCTTGATCTATATATGTTGTTAGTTTGAACTGGTCAAATAACACGAACTGGCGCGATGTTGCATTGCTCATCTTCGTCTTATCTTACTCAAAGGCGAAACCTAACCAATTTAATAAACTAACCAATGGTACGCATAAATCTCTCTAAAACCATGACATCCCGATCGGTTCCAAGTGTATTCTCAACTGATAGTGCGGCGCAATTCATGTTGTAAACTCAGCGCGTGGAATTCCTATTGAACTTAACCTTATCCACATGACATCGCTGAGTGCAGTTTGACCGATGTGTCATTCGTCTTTTCAGATCCTGATATGCCCTGAAGACAGGTATTATTTTAGTGTAGCTGTCAATTTTCCGATCCCCATTGTTAGCGTCAGGATGAGTTTTTGCATCTGTTGATCTTTATCAATTCGTTGCCAAATGCACCTTGCAGTACAAACGAATGTTGGACGGAATTATCTTTGAGAAGCTACCGGTCGACATTAGAAACCCGTATGTTCCATACGTTATCGGTGATTCGACAGCGATTGTATGAATGTGAGTAGCGTAATATGCTTTCGTGTAAAGCAACCTACCTGCAAGAATTATCCATTCTTTCCATGGTCAAACAAGAACAACTGAATTCAGGATATTTACTAAAACTCATCCACAAACAGGCATAACAACCCATTGGACTTATGCTACCTAGTCAAAAACTGAAATGCCTTGTTGTGATACAATGATGCGTTCTAATTTTACCCTCATTTTAGAATTCAAGCTGAGGCCCATATTAATGCTCGTTGCAAGATCGTTTGTAAGTGTTTGGCGAAACCATGCCAATTTGCAACCGCACAGAATTTTGGTCTGTCCGTTACCTGAAAGGTTACTCGTCCCACTGTGTTGCTGGACCGATTATCGATTCGAAGCCCGATAGAAATTGGTTCACCGTGGAAAAAGATCTCCTTGCAAAGTATCACGCATAATTTGATGTATCCGGAGTGGATGTGAAAATGTCTCACCAATGCCTTCACAAGAGGGCGTGGATTCGGGTGAGGGATTGCGATGGTCAAACGTTGAATGGACAGCGATATGGAATTTACTTTGGTCGAGATGGCAGTGGCGGATTTGCTCATGAAAACCTGTGAACGATAGAAAACAAGAAAGACCAAAATAAAGTCTCCAATAGCGGCGTATGTTATAGAGCAAAAAGGTTGGAAAACAAAGCGAGAATCGCGAAAGTAAGTGTGAGATATGTGTTACCATGTTTACCGAGTGCAAAGAATGGCTGAGCCAAAGTAAAAACTTTTTACTACCATTTCTACACATGTTCCTCAAATCGTAGTCCTCACTTTGGCAGTTGATAGAACCTACTTCACTGATCACAAGTTTCAAGGTCAACTGTTGCCCAGAAATTATGGGCAGGGGCCTGATTGGCTAATAAGTGAATTTAGCTGATCCTCCGGCTCATTTTAAAAGAACAACTGCATCCATCCAGCCACTGTTGATTACCGATATCGAGAGTTGACGAGAAATCACAAGTCGAAGGTTTGTTGGTGGAGAGCGCAAAGTCTTCGTATCCTGTTTAAAAAAGCGACACGTTTTCGTCACGCTGCTGTCTTATGAAAGACGACTGCATGAGTCGAACCACTGATTGGGACTGCGGAGGCATTTGGGAACAAAAGCATTTCAAGTTAGGTGCCTAGGTGACTACGAATAACATGCGCCCGGCAAAACTGCAGCGATAAAAACAAATTTGCAACATGAGGGCACTTTACTAATTACATCGTAATTTGCTATAAGTAGATAAAAACATTGCTCAACGTATGTCATAAATGGATAAATAAGATTTATCACAGACAGCTTCCCAATCAAATAGTCGTCCACGTGCCCGGAAAAGCACTAGGCTGCAGTTTCAGCCTGTTGGGCATCATCAGTAGTGCGCATCCATCGAAACCAGGAGGATCCGAACCCATGACCACCAGTGGCTTGCACCGCCAGTCAGCAGCTTACGCCACTGGGTCACGGGGGACAGCATTGAATCGTCATGATCTACATATATATCATATATATGGTGGTGATTACTATTAGTATTGTTCATGCTCCCCATTCTAACGTCGAGCTATACCACAATTTTAACATACAGCCTTGACAAACTCATTGCTAAACAGATATCACCCCGAAGAATTTATATACTCATTTGTGTTTGTTACCTGTTACCTGGTTGTATATGCAGCAATTATGAAAGCCGCTTTCACATTTTTCAGACGAGTACGCATTCCACTGCAACAGTATAGTAAATCTGCAGCGCTGTGCGTTCGCAGTTCAGACAAATAAATTCAACCTGTATTGCAATATTCTTAATTTTAATCTATGTAATACACAACCAGCTCAGACATACTTTTTGTTGCTATGTAGGTGTATGTAGGTTACATCTGTTAATGTGCAGCAACTGAATCACGTGGCGTACTTAATTTCCACATTATTTTTCTGCGAAATTTCTAGTTAAATTCTGCTGCACCTATGTAGTTATTGCATGACCGGAGGGCAAGGGTATTGCGGTTCGCAGCATGGGCTATTGGCGCTACAACATATTAACTGTTAGGTGCATCCATACAATTTCACGGAGCGCAGGTGATTAAACTCACTTCTACACGTTTAGCTTGGCATGCGCATCATTTCAAATAGGCACATATCGATTCACCGATTAAAGTGACCATTCACACGTTTATCATGATGAACGATGAATAATGAGTGCAGAGAGGTTTTGGAAACAATCGCTTGGTATAGTTGTTTGTTAACGTTTCGCACTTGACACAAGAGCTTCGTCAAACCAGGTGAATTTGTGCGCGGTTGGAGTGGCATTTTATAGCGAACAGGGACGATAATCGCGCTACCCGAGACATTAAACAATGTGTTATTACAGCCACAAGTCGTGATCTCACCTTAGGTGGTTCAATCCCAATGGGAATAGTCCAGGGGTTCTTTTGTGTGTCATGGCGTTGATGAATAAGCCCAAAATGGTGACAATGTGAGTAGAGTTGCACTTTTCAATCTGACCCACGTACCGACGCTCATCAGGCTGGCCGGCTTAAGATCGATCTCCACACACTATAGAGTTCTACTACCTCCATTCTATTCACACAGTTGTCAGATTCGGTGATTTCCAAATCCTCGACAATCAATCACTTGGGCGTTGATCGTACGTCCCTCCTATTGACTTCTACGTTATCCGAGTTTATCTGGTGACCAATGCCTAGTGCATGCACAGCCAAGGTCGAGTCTCTTAATATCGCAATTATTCAACCGCATATGTCAGTGATCTTAAAATGCACCTCCTGGCCACACAATACAGCCGGTTGGAATGCCGTCGGAATTTCTTTTCCCTTCGAGTGTGCCAACACTGGAATGCTCTTTCCACATACATTGTTTCTTCCCCCACGCTAATGGTATTCAAAAGACGTTTGGATGATTCGCTTATCCACCTACATTACGCTATATAATCAGAGATGTCTGCGTCAAGCAAACGCGATAAAAACGGTGCTCATTCTTAGCTTTTATGCTTCACTATATACACACTGCTGTTGTGGAATATAGTTTCGGATATAGTACAACTGCAGTCATCAATTTACCTCAGTCCAAGAAACCGGTGCACGAGTAAGCGTTGTCGTTTCTTCTGTTCTTCAAACATGCTTTCCCCATATTACTTCTCATATTACTTTACAGTAACAATTCAGTACACATTCTACAATGTTTATATGAATGAGGGGCACCTGAATCACTAAGAGCTTAAATTGACGATTTACACCTACGTTTAATTTCACTTCAACAATCTTACGGCACTTGTAAAGTTATCGCTTGTTTACCTGTAATATATCATTGTTCACTGATCATTGTTCATTGTCTGTGTGCATATGTGTACAGTCCTTACATTTAGTTTTATACAAACAATTAGTCATCTTCTCCTTGGGAAGGGGGTCCTTCAGCTGCACCATGCTCAACGTAGCGTTTGACCCCGCTGGAAAATCGCGCTTATATTTTCCTTGTTTAATAACATCCGAATTGCCTCCGTAGCGTCAACAGCGAAAGGTTACCGAGCAATTATACCAACCGATTTTTATCAAACCTCTCTAAACTCATGAGTACTCGATCAGATCCAAGTATCTTACAAAACAATATGAAATGAATAATGATTTATCACGAGATAAATGTAAGTGCTTGACACTTCCCGTAGGATGGTTGGGGTGAATACAGTGAAGTGGAAATAAATGTGATTAATCTTCTACCGAGCGTCTACTGAGTTAAATGCTTTGATGATTAACGTCCGTGTATGATAGCCATCGTGTATATGCATAGAGAAATACCTGGCGTTCAGTGATCGTTGAAGTACAGCATTACAAAAGCAAAATATGGTCACCCACTTGTGCTCCGCCCGTTTCGGTCCATGTGACACGTAAATCTGGTAAAAGGGCATGATTAACGTAATCCACAATGGCGTAGTTTAGGTAACAAAGTGCTGTCAGCTAAGAACAACATCCAATGGTTTGAAAATAACAAAATTAAGGGAGGATACATTTGAGTCTAGGTGAGCGTTCCATGGTTGATAAACCCGAAGGGAAATGTAATTCCGTTGACACCCTGGACGCCTATATAGTTCCCACAATTTCAAACAATTATCCCTCAGCTGCGTGTTGCAGCAGACTTTCAGCTAGGGGGTGTATACATGGTTGGGGTCACGCGATATTTGGCACATTAATATGAGCTCGCCGCGCAGCATTCGGTGGCGTCCGCTGAAAACTCCCAGCAACTTTAGCCTTCGATTGAAAAAGTGATTGCGGAGGTTCTTTACATTCTATATTGCTCTTTGTTGTGGTGCCTCTAATGCCACTAGATCAAGCTACAACCAAATTTTCTAACCTTGGATAGCGTGTTCAACGTGTGAGCGCACGTAGGAAGTGTGCATCATTAGAAATGTTGATGAGTAAAATCTCCCGAATGCCCTTCGCAACAGGCCGACGTGCTGGTTTTCTCTGTTCGCAGCTACCTCAGTCAGCTTTGAACAGTTGTGTTAATTTTATACGAGCCCACCAAGGTTACGTTGTTGGGAGCTGGTCTGAACTCCGTGTGCCTAAGCAGACATGGGTAGACATGTCTATAGCGTAATTGCACAACGCAACCTTTTCTACGTTTATTGATAGGGTGTTCTGAACTGACCAGTTCGAAATGGTGTTAAGGTCGCACTGAAGCAGTCTGTAGTCGCCCGGTCCTCTGCTCATTCGCCGTATGTTGATATCATATGCGAAAAATAGGAAATCGGAATTAATTGATCTCGGTAAATAGTTTAGTAACATCAAGAATAGACGAGACCCAAGCATCCATCTTTGTGGCACACCACACACCACATCAATTGCATCGGACAGAGTTTCCCGGATTCTTACTTCCAACCGACGCACGTGTAGCAAATTGCCGAAGTTCTGAAGCTTGTAAAGGAGAATCCGATGACCTAAACTGTGTGTCACTCGCCGTGCTGGTCGGGATTATTTCGTTGCTCCTGTCTTCTCAAGTTTTCGAATTCAAATTTCTTCGCACATCGGCCTGGGTACACTCATTTAATCGGGCTCGATCAGGTCTACCCATAGCGCAAGCTTTCTTGACGGTACTATAAGCGGATCAACGTCAAAAGCTGGTTTTCAATTTTGACTGTTTCAGCACGGTCGTTTGCCTACAAGTGCACCAATTTTCTGCCTTTATCAAGGTTTTTGGACTTCTCAGAAAGCTTACTGTTAGGTCTTCTTCAAGAGACCTAAACCAACCCTGTTGGTAGCTGCACAAGGCACCTAGAAGCAATTATATTTTCATACACCGCCTTGGTTGACCAAGATCTCTCACGTCGCATTGTGAATCGCGCTCTATCGAACGCACGCAAATCTCTTTGTTGGGCCGGATTTGTGCGTGTGCGCCTGTTGGAACTTGCGGCGTAACGTGACGCGACGCGCCACGGAATTGACCTCAGGGCTACCTGTGCACGGAGCGGTCGATATTTGAAGGACAATCTACCCTCGGCTGAGTTTGGACAACTGAGCGCTCTTACAACTGGTTGGTTTGTATCGATCATTACATCTGTAACCGTGGCCTGTTTGGA